TACTGTATTACGCTTACAGTATTATTATTTTTATTACTAATAATAATAATTAGGGATAATAATATGGCGACTTAGTTGTAGCTTTCAACACTTTGAAACACTAGTCTGCATCTGATCCAAAACTTGCAATGGTGGCTTGCATGGGCGAAGATCATTGGTCATGGGGTGCGGAGGAAGCATGTTCTTTCTCCCACATTTTATGATGGATGGTACACCCACTTTTTGACCACAATATAATTTCATGTCAAGAAAATGCCTGAAAATTGTTGAAATAAATGCATTACGACCGGTTAGTGCGTTTGCAGCAGTGCCGTTAAAATCATTAGCTTACTGTACTAATTTTGTAAAATACTGTATGGTGTTCATGCCATAGACCAAATGTTATTAAAAGTTTCTGATAAAAACATCATGCAGAAGGCGTTGGAGCTTCATTTTGACTATGGTGATAGGACTAATTTGTTGCACAGTGGTATAATTCTGTATTGACCTCGACTGCTACACAATCCTTGTATCTTATTGCAATTAATTATAATTGTTGTGTTGTGATGAGTAGTCACGATAGGGACACAGGTGATATTCTGTTGCAGAAGGGTAAGAGGACTTACATTAATCAAACAAATATTGAAAAGATGAATGCAGTGCAAGTAGATAAAATCCCACCTACTCCTAATGGTACTGTAAAGTACCAGGTAGCGTATAATAAAAATGAACCACTTTCCAATATTTGTGGAACTGGCAGTGTGCCCAGCGTTGCACAGGTACCATTCGCACTGTAGAAGAGGCGCAACTCATCTACCAATAATCTATGAATGGATTTAACAAAATAAAGCCATGGCATAATAAGAAAAAGGTTCTCATGAGTATACTTGCAAGTAAACGGCCAGACACGCTTCCCACACTGAATAATCCCAAAGGTAGACGCGTACAGCTCCGCTCGTCTACTGTATGTTCACACAAGTCGCTTCCTCTGACATGAACGACCTCAGATGCGTAAAGCTCCGCTTGTCCATGTTCACACAAGTCGCTTCCTCTGACTTGAACGACCTCAGACGCGTACAGCTCTGCTCGTCTGGTATACACGTTTGAACAGACTTGGCTTGAATGAAGCGACGATACACAACACGGAATCCACAGTCGTCTCGATACTCAACCAACACTGGTCTAGATAATCAAGCCTATCCATAAAGCCTTTAAATACAACAATCCATAATTCCACAGAGCATGCCCCATTTACAAACACATGGTTAAACAACCCCCATCTTATATATCACAATACATGAATAAATGGACCTATACCGATATAATTATCCATACTCACAAAAATTAGGCCTAGCATAGCAATATTTAATTAGTACAGTTTTACTCACAGTCACAACGGCTAACCAGGAGTAAATTGTTTCAGTGTATTACCAAGGAAGGCCACTGTTAGACTCGGCTAACTCCCAAACAGATTCCACAACCGTTGAGACTAAAATTTTACCACCACTGTGGTTACTACCAGCACACACATGTCCGGCTGCCTACTGTAGTGTATTGTATACGGATTGAACCACTAAATAACAGATTAAACACAGGATCACAATCAACGACTCACACACGGTGGTAAGGAACTCTAACAACTAACTTTAATGATATTCAATCACAGGTCAAAAGGTCAACTCAACTTCCGTAGATACTACAATTCCTCCTTTCTTTAAAATAAAACTTTCCTCTTAATAAAAATTTTCTTTTCTATCCAGTTTATAAGTATTCGAATTTACAACATGCAACTTCCATTATATTTTTTCTATGATTATTCTAATAATTACTGAACACTTTAATTTGAATTAGTCTCTAAATCATTATCTAAATCTATATTGTTTTTCTGATCAAAACATCAACATGCATATGATTAATTAAAGCTTACCATTCTGTACTTGCTCTACAGTAACCGCGTTTCCCGCTCTTTCCACAACTCTAAATGGTTCGCTTTGAAATGTGGGCGTCAATTTATCTTTTCGGTCTCGCTTCAAAAATACCATGTCTCCTGGTACAATATTACACTCACATGCATTTCTTTTTTTTTTCATTTTACCTTTAACTTCGCGATCCCGATCGCTCACTTCCAAATCCTCTTCTCCAATGTGATCTCGGATTCCGGGAATTTTGGTTCGAAGTTTCCGCTTAAATATCAGTTCCGCGGGCCTGTTACGCTGTGAGGTGTTGTGGGATACATTATCAAGAATTTATCAATTTCCGCTCGCCAGTTGCGTTTCTCAGCTCGCGCAATTCTTACTTGTTTGAGAAGTGTGCGATTTTGTCTTTCCACTTCACCGTTTGCTTGGGGCCAGATAGGTGTCACTCTTCTATGGCTTATGCCCTGACTCTCTAAATACTCTTTGAATACTGCACTGATAAATTGTGGTCCATTATCTGTCTTTATGCTTATTGGTAGTCCATGTGTTAGAAACATTTTACTTAGACTTTTCACAATTTTATCTGCTGTTGTCAACCTACAGTAAGTGTATCCACTTCAAAGTAACGACTATAATAGTTCACAACTACAAACAAGTAGTCTCCTGTTGGCAACAACATCAGGTCTGCAGAAATATGTTGCCAAGGTGCAGTTGGAATATCTGTTGGTTTTATTGGCTCAGGCTTTTCTGGATTACCTACAGTCTGGCATGAGTGACATGTTTTACAGAATTTGTCTGCATCTTTATCTACGCCAGGCCACCACACTTTTGTTCGCAAGTTTCTTTTCGTAGATACTATGCGAGGATGTCCTTCATGTGCTAACTCTAAAATTTTAGAGGATTCGTGTTCCTCGTAACACTAACATTCCAATACTTGTAAGTTCATCCTTGATAGCTAAAAATTTCTTATTTGACAGTTTATGCCATTGATTATTCAAAATACACTCTCTAATCTCTGAAATTTCCTCATCTACCGCTGAAGCTCTCTCAATTTCTTTGGTTGTAAGAGCGTTTGGAGTTGCGTTCAAAGCTACAAATCTAATGTACTTCTCGCTTTCGTCGGTAGGCTGACTCTGCAAGTTATCTAGCTTTATACAAAGAAGGCGTGATAGACTGTCCGCTATGTTGTCCTTCCCAGCTATATACTTTACTTTGAACTTATATGACTGAAGTCTTAGAACCCATTGATGAATCCTTGCACTTGCTCTACCCGTAGACTTGGTTGAATATATACACTCCAGGGGCTTATGGTCTGTCAACAATGTAAAATCAGTTCCATACAGATACATGTGAAGGAGCTCGCATGCCCACACGATTGCTAAGGCTTCTTTCTCAGTTTGTGAGTAGCGTCTCTCAACATCTGTTAAACTTCTGCTAATATAACATATCACTCTATTTTCTCCCTCGATTTCCTGAACGAGAACTGCTCCAAGTCCTACTGGACTCGCATCCGTGATCAATTTGGTTTCAGCTTTATTATTAAAGTATCCAAGTGACTGCGTATTCGCTAGTTTAATTTTAAGTTCGCTAAAAGCATAGTCGTGTTCGTCACTCCACACAAACGGAACGCTCTTTTTGGTCAATCGACGCAATGGTTCTGAGATCGTTGCTAAGTTGGGAATAAATCTACCACTGTAATTTACTAATCCCAGAAAACATCTGACCTCTGTAGCTGTCTCTGGTTTTCTTGCCTCTTTTACGGCACAAACTTTTTCAATTTCTGGACCAAATCCTCTAGCTGAGAGTAAGTGTCCCATGAAAACCAATTCTGTCATGCGAAACATGCATTTACTTTTGTTCAGGGTAAGTCCTGTTTCCTCAATACGTTTCAACAAGTTTTCTAGTCGTCTGTCATGTTCCTCAATAGATTTCTCATGTACTATGATGTCATCGAAGATGTTACGCACACCTTCGCATCCTTGCAAAACCTGCTGTATTACACGCTGATACATTTTTGGAGCGCAGGAAATGCCAAACATAAGCCTTTTGTAACGATATAATCCTTCATGTGTCACAAAGGTTGTGATATGGCATGATTTTTTTATTCAGTTCTATTTGATGAAAGGCCCACTTAATATCTAACTTGCTGAAGACTATGCTTTGGTTCAGGTCATACAATATTTCCTCGACTGTTGGGATTGGATGCCTTTCTCAAATTATCGCTTCATTCGCTCTCCTCATATCGATACATAGACGAATGTCATTGTCTCCTTTAGGTACCACAACTACAGGTGACACCCATGGTGTAGGACCATCTGTCTTTTCAATCACATCCAATTTTTCTAATTCATCAAGTTTATTTTCTAATTTTTCTCGTAAATTGAATGGAATTCTTATCAGTGACTTGGCTACTGGAGACACTGTTTCATCAATGGGAATCTCTAACAGAAAATCTTTCAATTTTCCTATTCCTTCGAAACATGATTTGTACTTATGAAACACTTCTTGATTAATATTGGCCTTCTCCTGTATTACATTGATACTTGCATTAAGGCCTATCTTCAAAACTCCTAGTAGTGTAGCGGTTTTTCTTCCTAACAATGAGGGACCCTTGCCTTTAATGACCATCACTTCGGCCTCAACAATGTCACTGTTCTCAACTGACATATTTGTAGTGAAAGTGCCTATCACTTCAATTGGGTCTGTACTTCCGTATGGATACAAGTTCTTATTAACTTTAGTTGAAGCACACACTATCTTCTTAGCCTTTAATTCTTCCCATATCTGTTTATCTACAACATTACAACTCGCTCTCGAGTCTATTATCATTTGATTACAAATACCACCCATATTCACATTCACTTTGGTGTAATATTCATCTTCTGTAAGTGAGAATGCATAATCAGTGCTGGGTGTACTTACATTATCTTCTTCACTCATCATGTGAATTTTCAATTTATGTTTATTTCCTACAAAACCTCTTCCTGTGGTTCGTTTTGGTGTAGAACTTTTTGTTTTACAACATCTCGCTAGATGCCCTATATTGGGACACTTATAACACTCTTTATCTTTTGATGGGCAGACAGCTTGCAAATGCCAATGTTTACCACATCGATAACAATTTCGCTCAGAGTTTGATTTTCACTTGGAATGCGCGTCTTTATCGCTTCGTCTTGGCTGTTTACCAAACGTCTTCGTTTGTACTCAATTAACCTCAGCGCGCCCTATCCCTTCAATATTGGTCGCTTGACTCTCGCTATATTCCATTGCTCGTGCTGTAGTTTGCAACTGTGCTAAGGTTAAGTTCCTTCCTTTTTCTAATAATTTTCTTCTCAAATGATGTGAAATACATTTCTCGATTACTTGGTCCCTAATCTGTTCATCATTATTCGTGAATTCACAGTACTCAACTTTTTGTCGCACTCTCGTAATAAATTGGTCAATGGTTTCAGTGCTAATTTGAGCCATATTACGGAATAAATGACGTTCATAAGGCACGTTAGCTTGGGGACTAAAATAATCTTCTAATGCTTTGATAGCTAAATCATATACATTCTCGTTCTCACCTGGTGCTGGAACATTTAGTGTGTAAAAAACGTCCTGCATCTGCATCCCCCCGCAATGTAACAAAAGTGCCTTTTTCTGTTTTTCACATGTAACTCCCTTCCCTTCTATGAACAATTCAAATGCACGGCGCCATTTTCGCCATCTCGTGTTCAACGTAGTCGGCTCATTTAAACAATCAAAAGTTGGGATTCCACCCAGATCTTTATTAATCTGCGTCGCCATAATTTCGTTCCTACAATTAATAAAATATCCTCGTCGCCAATTTGTAGTGTATTGTATACGGATTGAACTACTAAATTAAACACAGAAGCACAATCAACAACTAACACACAGTGGTAAGGTACTCTAACAACTAACTTTAATGATATTCAATCACAGGTCAAAAGGTCAACTCAACTTCCGTAGATACTACACCTACCTGCAGTACACTGAAACAAAACCCTCACTAGCATCACATAACACTGTACCAAGACCAATTTGCATGTTAGTCGACACATCTGCACCAAGTAAGTTTACAATAACAAGTATGGAACGCCAAGAATGCCTTTAGGGACACCAACATTGCTGGTTTTTCATGACAGAGTTAATGGGCTTTCGAGCTTAAAATACAAGTGTCCGTCACTATCATCAATCTTAGCCATCTTAGGTTATATTACAATTTGTTTGTTATTTCTGTTGTTTAACTGTGTAAATTATATTAAAATCTTGTTTGGCTGAATAAAGGATGAACCAATGAATGAATAATAATATATTTTTTACCTACATAAAAGTATGCCTTGGCCTGTACCTCAGCCAGCGGCATAGACTAGGCCTAGGTGTTTGCAAAACTGGATAACCTGAAAAAAAAAAGATTTAAAATTTGTGGCTCGCATAGCTCGCGCATTGGCTCGCACTTGTCACGACCCATTGTATTATGTTAAAAGCAGCTTACCTCGGTACCATTTACATTTTCTACAAAAATGAAGTTGGTACCATTATCGCTCCAAGAAACTTTATATGACGTCACCCAATTAGGTGAAAACGGATTTCCTTGTGTTACTACACCAATAACCGATTTCACATCACTGAGGTTGGCTTGAATCCATTGTGTTTGGTTGTAGTTCTCCTCCGGTTTCCATGTTCCACTTCCATCATTGGTAACTGCATTTAGTCGTCCTTCTTCAGCCTCAAATCCGCGGCTATGTACAGAAGATGCTGTGAGTTGAACGGTACCATCTTCAACACCAAGTGCATTGGAACCTAAAGAGATGGATTTGCATTATAAAATATACTTAGCGATCTTGTACAGGCCCATAGCTAGGTGGGGTGCAGAGGGGAAGGGTGCACATTTTTGTTTATATTGTTAACGATGATATAAACCTTGTCGTCGTTTTCCCAAAATAAGTGACGTCACAGAGGTCACGTTGGCTTTGTAAACACATAAGCTAGTGGTAAAATGACTTGTAAAAAGTTGATATTTTGCATGTAGGTCCTGTATGATGTGAAGTTGAACCATCGGTAATATCTTACGTTTATGATGAATAATAAAGATGTAGGAGATGAAACCAATCCAAAAAATATTTGTCAAACATGATTGCACGAGGTTATATGCTTAAATATCTCATGAATAAGGTCATCCAGCATTTCCAGTTCCGATTATGAGAGTCAGTCATTGTCTGGTTATACTGTACTTGTGACGGTTGAGTCAAGTTAGCCAACAATATATGGAATGCCAAAAGGACAAACCACAAGTGGCGCAGTGCAAAACTAAAGTGGCACAGTGCGAAAGTTGAGTGGCGCAGTGCAAAACTAAAGTGGCGCAGTGCAAAACTAAAGTGGCGCAGTGCAAATCCAAATGTGTGTGCCGCTACTTGACTTCTGCACTGCCCCACTTGACTTTTGCACTGTGCCACTTGACATTTGCATTGCACTTGACTTTTGCACTGCACCACTTGACTTTTGGCGATATTGTATGGAACGCCAATTTTAGCATCAAAATGAAACTAAACAACAAAATAAATGAATAAAAAAAAGCAAGAACACATTTCTTAATAATTTCACAACACAACAACACCACAAAAAAAATTGGGACTACTTATCGTAGATACAGTAGCCTAGGCTTGTAACTAAACAACAAAATAAATGAATAAAAAAAAGCAAGAACACATTTCTTAATAATTTCACAACACAACAACACCACAAAAAAAATTGGGACTACTTATCGTAGATACAGTAGCCTAGGCATGTCTAGTCATCGTTATTATCGCTATAAAGGCCTATGCACAGTTGTCAGCCATGGCTACTAGAGACAAATTAGAAGCTTTGGTAGTGATGGGTTATACGAATAAACAATTGCTGAAGAAATGGAGGTAAGCGTAAGCACCATAAAAAACATCCGGTGTAATTTCCGATTGAGAAAGAGTGACCTTTCGAGTGATATTAGCGGAAAGTTTGAAATAATTTCTGTTGCTTTTTGTTTCTACATCATTGCTAGGCTAGTCAGGGTAGACTACTCATAGTTATGCTAGGGCCAGTGACAAAGGGTCAACGCAGTTTAGAAAGATCGATTCAATAACATACATTTTCACATTGTATTATTAAAGCTCATATTGACATTTTCAGCATTTAATTTTATTATTTAGACCAATAATATCTTATACAGTAATAATTTTTTGGCAAATAAAAAAATATGAGACAGATTTGTTTTTTCACTCAAGCAGATTTCTTCATCTTTAGCAGCAGCAGCAAATTACTTTGTATAATAAGAAAATAATTTGAAAATATCAAGGTAGTGCACATAAAAGAAAAAAAGTTATGAATTCTAGAAATTGGCTATTTTTGAAGGACTACAACTTTCTATGGTCACTAAAGCCTCAATCGCACCGGATTTATTTCAGTAAAAGTAACCGTCTTGTCGGTAAGTTTGACCGAAAAAATCCAGTGCGGATAGTCCCGCTCGGTTAACTTGACTGTTTAACTTGAAAATTTATCTTAAAATTGCAGGTTGAGGTCCATGGCTAAATGGAAAAAAGGATTAGCCTTTATCTAGTGATTAATCTCTTAGGTTTTCACACCTACACATAAGCAATCCTTGACTGATGCACATTTATTTTATAATGTTATGCCATAAATTATATAGTGGGCTACGAAAATAATGTTGTATTTCATGATTTTGAACATTTTCACGCTTTTCCCGTTAAATTTGGCCAAGTACTTACGAAGATATGATATTAATCATTGTTTTTGGTAAGGTTTTGGTCAGCTATTCAATATAATACCCTACACCCCTCTGCTGATAACCATTCAAACGAGGCCTGACTTATCAGCTAGACAGAGAAACGTGGTACGAAATGAATAGAAAAGCGTTCATGAAGTGGTACGGTGTTTTGAGGCGATAGGTCTAAGCCTAGGTATTTTTGCACAGTTTTGAAGAAGATGGAATTGTTTAATTAAGGAAAGTGTTCATTCTGATTGACACTTTTTAACCAGAATAGCAATGGGTCAAAACAGCAATGAACCAAATAATAATAATAATAATAATAATAATAATAATAATAATAATAATAATAATAATGATAATAATATTGGACGAAACACAATATAAAAGCAGTAGACATTTAAATAATTTAAAATTTAAATAGTGACAAAATGATTATATAATGACATTAATTAAAAATAATAATAATGAAACAATACAGTAGTAGTAATAATAATAAGAAGAAATAGGCCTTATAACAATATCACAAAATACAAATTAAATAATAAAAATAAACACAATAATATCAGTGAACGTAATAAATAAATAAAACTTTAAATTACAGACAAAAAAAAATATACCCGATGTCATAAAAGTTTATTGCCGTTTTGAACTGAGACCCTCCTTAAAGTACTGATCGACTTTGAGG